GTGTGTGTGTGTGTGTGTGTGTATGTGTGTGTGTGTGTCTGTGTGTGTGTGCGCGTGTGCTTGTGTGTATGTGTGTGGTACATATGATATTCTGCTTTGCGGCTACAAGAATCACCTACATGTGTGATTCTTCTATATCCGTCTACTTTGCGTTTATATGTGCACAAAAATTGTCACTTAGTGTGATGTCGCCGAAATGCGCGTCGCTTCAGGGTGCAGCGATGTAAGCCAAGGCTACCGGATAGCAAAAATCGACGCGGGCTATCGCTTGTCAGTCAACGTGAGGCGAACCTTCGAACGTGTTTACTGGTAAACATATTAATGACATGATAATCGGTGAACGACTGTTTGATGCATCCCGCCTCACACGACTGAATGGGTGGGTGACGGCGGCGGGGAAGAGTAGCGACACGAGTGCATCAGGGTGGGTGCAGACTGTCAAAACTGTAGTAATTTTTACTTCGCGTGACAGATAGCAAGCCTACTGTCCTCTAAACGTTGTCACGTCAATAGCAAACACAAGTAAACTGATACCTATCCAAACGATTATGCAAGCATTTAGGGAAGGGGTGTGTGGAAAAACACGCTTACTATACGCTTCGGTGACCTTGCGTCTAGCCCTTACTTAAAAGCCAACTATATACTAAGATAATAGTGAAACGTAGTAGTCTAGGAATAGACCTAGCCTCAACGTAGTAACACACATGCATGTTCGAAGGAAGACTGCTGCGCTAGAAAGCAATCACAGGTTAACTGTTACGCAAGATGTGCTGAGCACCTGTGCAATACACACGCACCCATCTTTCTCTACCTTACTCCTCAACACACTTACACATTCTCGTTTGATGTCACTCCCCCCCCCCACACACTCACCCCTCCTCGCTTTACCTCACCCCCAAACACAGTGACTCCTACTCCCTCCCCATCTCACTTCACCTCACTATACCCGACTCCCCTACACACATACAAGTTTACACCCCACCCACACCCCTCGCCCCAACTCATCCGCACACACTCACTCCCCATCAGTCCCTACGCTCCACCCCACATCCCCCACACTCGCTCCCATCGCTCTACCTTACCCCCTCCCCCTCACACACACATTACACTCACTAATCTAGTCCCACCTCACTCTCGCACTCATCTCAATCCACCTCACTCACCCACATACTCACTGTTCCTCACTCTCCACGTTTCTTCTTACTCCCCCACTCGCTTACTCACATCGCTCCACCTTACCCCTACACACACTTCTTCCCGCCTCGCTCCACCTTACTTCCCCCACACTCTCTCCCCTCGCTCCACGCCCCCCTCCCACCACCCACACACTTCCTCCCACCTCGCTCCACCTTACCTCCCCACACTCTCTCCTCCTCGCTCCACTTTAGTCCCCCAACACATTCGCTCCACCTTACACCCCACACACTCCCCCACCTCGCTCTACCTTACTCACCCACACACTCTCTCCCCTAGCTCCAACTTATTCTCCCCACACCCACCCACCCACACACACAGACTCTCCTTCTCGCTCTATCTCACTCCCCCACACACTCTTCCCCCTATAGCTCCAACTTACTCCCCCAACACCTACCCACCCACCCACACACACAGACTCTCCCCTCGCTCTATCTCATCCCCCACCACCACACACACACACTTTCCCCTCGCTCTACCTCATCCCCCACCACCACACACACACACACTGTCCCACTCACTCCACCTTATTTCTCTCCCCACGCATCCGCTCACCTCGTTCCACCTCGTCGATGGCGACGTTGTCCGGAATCGGCGGCACGAAGCCACACTCGTCGTTGATGGCATTCTCCGGCAGCTCACATCTCATCAGCAGCGGCGTCCACACGGACCCGGCGGCGCAGAGTCGCACCTTCGGCCAGCCGTGGTCGCAGATGTAGAACCGCTGACAATCGTCGACGTCCGTCGAGAAGTTGGCTCCGCCGCGGCAGTCGTCTTCGGCTTTCACCGGCACGCCGAATCGCTTCACGGGTGTTGCCCATACTAGCGGGTAGCAACAAGACTATTGTTATGGTAACTGCATCGTTTGCTGACCCGATTACATAGCAGCGTCTGTATAAGGGTGCGCAGAACAAGAAGCCCTGCTATATTGACACGAACTGCTGCAGCAGGTGCATTGCCTAGATGAGGCTTATGCATGCGTATAAGCTGATGCTGCGCAAGGAAAGATCAAACTTGGTCATTGGCACTACTTATACGCCAGGTTATTCAAATTTTATGTTCAACTACAGAGTGAATATGCTTTGATCGTAAAGGATCTCTATAATATATGTCCTAATCTATATCAGGGGGCTGGTATTGCATCAGCATAACTTAACCAGAACCATTACGTTTACCCATAGCATTTAACATCCGTTAATAATGACTGTCCAAGTAAGCGAAATTCCCAGTTCTTTTACAAACAACTCGGTATAACAAGATCAACGCCACAATAATTAGCACTACTGCCGTTTTTCCTCAATTACAGTAATTTTGAAACCTGGCATAGGGTGCATAATAGTTAGGTACAACCTGCATAACGTGTCGTAATGTGTAGGTACAGCTTTACGCCAATCCCCGTTTTGAGATGAAAATGAATTACTATGTTTATGAACATCCGGCTCCTTGAAATATCAAGTATGCATAACGTTTAAAGAGACGGTTAGCGATATTTAATCACCCATACTATCGCTACGTTAGCGTTTACTGACCTAGCCGCATATTCATTCGGCATGCACACATTTTACCTACTACTCACTACACACCTACGGTCTCTTATTTACATATCGTACACGCCGCACATACAGATTAAGCGGTAACGCACTGTCAACATACCTGTAAGCGCATAGATGCACACCACCGATATCACAACGAACGCTCTCATGTTGTCACACTAAGCTTCTCCGCAGCAATGATGAAGGTCTTTGCCACCACGGCGTTTTATACGTGGCCGACTAGCGGGCGGGCGGGCGGGCGGTCGGGCGGGTCCGCGTGAATCTGCCTACATGCTTCACGCAATACGAGATCCCTCGTCACGTCTCGCGATTGAGGCCCCGAGGCGAAACTGCAATGCCTGAAAGTGAAAGCGCGCGTATTCATGTTTTCCTTTGATAGGTTGACGCAGCGTGCACGCATGGTTAACGCACGCGGACTGGGTGGGGCTCGGCGCTGGGAACGGGCTAAGGAGAGGTAGATGCATGGATATATAAACGCGATTATGGCCCGTGGGAGACGACGTCTCAATGGTAACTGTGTCAGATAGAGCGTTGTATAACTGCTGCAATAGCGCCCCCGAAAAGAAAGTGTTTTCTTAACCTATTCCTTCGCACTTGGGTGTGTTTACGATCAGCGCCGATAATGTATATGATTTTACGCTTGGGATATGCAATCCGCTACCGAGAGGGCGAGAGGTACGAATGACGTCACAATAAAAGCACGCTGTTCGAAGTGAAACTGACAATGACACTATAACAACGTGGGACTTTATTCCGGTGCTAGCCTCCGTTCCAGTTGCTACTCAATATGGGTCAGTAAGAGCAACCCGTCACTATTCGCTCACGTGGTGACGAGAAGAGAGATGGGGTATTGACGGGAGTGAGCGTGCTACAATGGGTAGACGACACAGCCGCACTGGCGATGGTGCAGTCATGTGTGGATAAACTGCAACCTGAGTCATGCGGCAGTTACCTCACAATTTACTCGATCCACTATTAAAATCAAGTTTTTGCTCCAAATACTCGTGTCCGCTTTCGCTTTTCGTCTCATAGAAATATCGTGTCGTTGAGGCGAGCATGTTCCATGTCACCCTTAATGATTTAAAAAAGAACTGTTGTGCTTGCTGTCTTTATGATTATCTGTCAACTGCGGCTCGTGATCAATTTCAGAATTTTAGCCAGCCTTCTATGCTAACCCTTCAGTGGGTGTGAAACGTGTTCTAAATAAGTTGTAGATACAGTCCTCGAGAACACATCACATAAAAATGGGATATGGGTAAATCTTCAAAAAGAGCCCCTGGCTGATAGAGAAGCATCACATGTTCATAGTTCGGTTTGTTTGCTTCGTACAATGCACGCACTAGCGTACAATACGTGACAACAACTGAATGTCATTGAAATGGGGATAACGGAAAGAGCTGTGTGTTAAGATCTCCGCTTTTGAGATCCGCGCTTTTAAGATCCGCACAAACAAACACACACACACACACACACACACACACACACACACACACACATACACATACACACACACACACACACACACACACACACACACACACACACACACACACACACACACACACACACACACACACACACACACACACACACGCACAC